AGGAAGAATGTATGCAATGTGTTAATTATTGAAACTGTCCTACCAATTTGGTTTGAAACTGTCTCATTGCTATTTGTTTCTCAATAAAATTATGGGAAAAACAAAGAGTTGTGGAAATCCTAATAGTTCCAGCATTGCCAGAAAATCCAATTCCAGTCTCCTCTGATATTTAAGGTAAACTCTTACCTATAAGCTCCTGTATGAATGAAAAGAAAGTTAAACACAATGGCAAACGATAAACATTTCCCTTCCAAAAGATACAAATAAGGTGAGAGAAAGGAATGGGACCAAAGCAAGACCAAAGCCCAGAAGGGCAAACAAAATCCTGTTGTTCCACATCCAGTATCCAGTGTAATCTGTGGCAAGATGTAAACTCCAAAGGGCTTCTTGGGTGGCCCTGGTCCTATGGCACTGCTGGTAGTTATAGCTTGTATGGATTCACTCTTTTTGCTCACTCTGCTTACTCCTTGCATCCTTCCTCAGGTGTCCATGTTTCTGCCTTCTCTAATTTTCTCTGGCCTATGTTACATCTCTGCTTCACATTCAGAGCTTCATACATTGCCCAGTCAGTGCCACCCGTGTGGCTTCCCAAACCTCCTGAAGTCTGAGTAGAAGCCTTCTTAATCCCATTATCCTTGCATCCTGCATGTACCTAAAACCAGCACCACATAGATGATGGCAAGGTCTGCTTCTGGCTGATGTAGCAGCCAGGTTTCCTTCTCTCTTGGCTCTAGGGGTTGAGTGCCTGGATTGCTGAGCACTGTGAACCAATCTCTAGGAACAAATTCTTTAGGCTGCCAACTATTGGAATATTGTGACCTGGGGCTCTTTTCTCAAAGCAAAGTCTTTCACCTTGGCATTTTTAGACTACAAATGGTGGAATTCTTCTAGTTCTTATCATGCCCTAAAGTGATCTTTTCTATTGTTTCTTCCTAAATGCTTGGCTTTTTATTATTAATATTTTCAACAATCAAGTTCTCCTCCATTCTGCCTTTGCAGTCTGCAACTTTAAACTGAATTTTCTTGTTGGCCACACTCAAAATGTTTTAAATCATTCTCATAGCCCTTTTGCTCTTGATTCTTAAAACAGATGCGGTTAAAAGATACCGACAGCAGCTATGTCACTGCTTCAACATTAGACTGTCTTGAAATTTCTTCAGCTAGATTAATTAGTCTTCTGCCCTTAATTCAGTCTCAGGCAAAGTCTCTAAACTAGAGCCAAATGCAGACAGATTTTCTGTCAAAGTGTAACACACATGGCCTGGAGTCCAACAGCCACTGCAGTCCTTGTTCCTAATTGATACCTCCTGAGTCTTATCTTTGCCAGATGCACTAATATCAGTTTTTGGTCTTCTAAGCTCTGACCAGAATCTCCCATCAAGTTCAGCTGAAAGCATTCCAGGGCTTGCTACTTCATCCAGCATCTCTAAATCTTTCCAAACTCTTTCTGCAAGCCAACTCCAAAGGTTCCTGAACCACACAGCCACATAATTTCAAACCCAACTTTTCTGGTACCAAAATCTGTCTTAGTTATGCTCTTGCTGCTGAGACAAAATACCTGACACCCACAAGTTAAAGGAGGGTTTATTTTGGCTCACAGTTTATAGAGGTTTCATTCCACAGTCAACTGGTTCCAAATCAGGGTAGTATGGCAGAGGAGCATTTCAGAGAAGAAATAGTCCATGGTGTGGTAAGCAGAAGCCAGCTTGTAGCATAAACAGAAGAAGTGGCAGTGGTGGCAGCAGTAGCAGCAACAGCAGCCTGCTTTCTTCCTGTCCCCTTACATAGTGGTATCTTGGTTAACAAACAATTCTTTCCAAAGTTCTAGTCACAAACCAATCTGGATGAGAACTGAATCAAATTTCCTCATAGGTCAATACTGAATCTAACCAAAGAGTTTGATTCAATTTTTGTGCAACTTCATTTGTGATCAGAACTGTGTAAAGAATCAAGTTCACAAACCAAGGTACCAGTGTATTCCATCCAGGGAACAAGCATATTGATTGGTGCCAACCATTCCCAGGGGAGGGTTTTCATTATCTATACTCTTAATCCACATTTGCACATCCTAATCCGGGCAGTTGGCAACTCCCCACCTAAGAACATGCAAGGGTGGGGACATGTATAAGCCATAACATTAGCCAACACAAGTATCTTTTGTTCAATAGTAATAGCTGACATTATATTAAGTAAGAATAGAACTAATAATTGGGTTATCTTCCTTGTTAGGGATAATTAAGATTAAGGAACTAATGTACAAGAAAATGCTTAATACCTCTAGTACTTATTAGAAACAGTAACAAATGATTTTAATCTCAGAGACCTTGCAATAATAAATTTTCAATCATCAGTCATAATATTGTATTAAGATTTTTTTTCTGCCAAGCATCACACTAGCTGCTTTCATTTTAGTTACCCTCTACTTGCTTATATTGCCCAATCCCTCAGTTTATTGCTTTTATTAGACTATGATTTGCTTACTACTATAAAACCTTACTAATAATAACACTGTTGCACAGTTGTATTAAATTCAATTAAAGGTTTATTAACATGCTCTTGCTTTCTTATTTCCTAGTTTTCAAACTTCTTTAAAAAAGTTTGCTGTATGATGTCTACCTACTGCAAAGTGTACTGCTCAAAAATATTTTCTATCTCTCACTGAAGGGTCTGGCCTGCAGAAATTCTACTCAAAGCATACAGTAAGTCAAGAGGAGTTCACTTTGAGGCATGTTAAGACTGTTGCCTATATTTAAGAGAAGATTATATATGGGTCTGAATTACAAGAGATCTGGGCTATTGATAGATTTGGAAGTTGTTCCTGTAGGTAATCAATTATTGAAGCTCTGTGTGATGGTTAATAATGAATGCCAACTTGAATGACTTGAGAGGTACCCAGGAGGTTAGTAAAGCACATTTCTTGGTATCTGAGTGGGTCACTGAGGGAATGTTCTTGGGGACCTTATCTGGCTCTTTTTCTTTCTCTGTGCTTCCTGGTAGTCATGAGTTGGGCAGTTTGCTTCCACTACACTTTCTGCCATATTTTTATGTTGGAGTCAGCCAACCATGGACTGAAACCTCTAGAATCACGAGACAAAGTAAGCTTCTTTAAAATTCATATGCCAGGTATTATGTCCCAGTGATGCAAGCTGGCTAGCACAGTGGCACCTCAGTTTGAAAACTTAATTTATGATTTGGGGGAAAATGGCTGTATTTGTTCTGCGTGGAAAAGATGGCTGTGATTGTGTTTGTCATCCGATGGGAAGTTTATGAATGGAAGCAAACTTCTGCCAAATGATTCTGTTTGTCAATCAAATATGTTTGCCAACAGGTGTCTGTGAACTGAAGTATTACTGTACATTATGAAAGCAGAAGAGAAAGAGGCTGAAAAACATTATGTTAAAAGACAAAACAGAAGAAGGAGCTGAATAAGAAGATATAAGGTGCTGGGAATGTAGCTCAGTGCTAACACACTTGTACATGGCCCTAGGTTCAATATGTACCATTGCTGAAAAATTAAAATAAAATATAGTTAGAGCACCACTATCCAAAATAATTTTTCTGCACAAATAAAAATATAAAATTTGGTTATCAAACATTTGAGATTGAGAATTGAATTTTTAACTTAAAAATGGTAATTTAAATAGCCAGATGTAAATTACTGCATTGGATACTGAAGTAGACTGACAATAAAAATCAGCCACAGAAATCATGAAAAGAAAGTGTTTCAAAGGTAGGTAATAATCAATAACATTAAATATTACAGAGAAGAAAAGCAACACAATACTAAAAAAGTGAGTGCTGAATACAGTTAACTACTAAAGGTGGAATTGCATCCCTCAAACTTTCTTATGTTGAAGTCTATTATATCTTCCAATCATATGGAGTAGGGTGATTCAATTACCTAATATAATTGCTGTCCTTATACAATGGAGAAAACAACAGAGAGATGTTTGTTCTCAAAGGGAGATGCTGTGTGAACAGAAAGATAAGAGATCAGAGTGGTGTACCTACCACTTAGGGTGCACCAAAGATTCCCAGCACACCAGAAGTTAGAAGGTGGCTAAATGTTTTTATAATCCTTTCAAAGATAGTATGGCTTCCTCCTACTTAGACATTGGACTCCTAACTTTCAGAGACATGGGACAATAAATTTCTGTTGTTTAAGCCATTGAGTTTGAGGTATACTGTTAAAGCAGCCCTAGCAAACTGAAAGCTCTTTGATACTTCTTAGTTGTTTATTCATCAATTTAAATCTTGAGAAAGTTTATTTAATCTTTTGATCTTCCAGTAGAAAGGAAATACAAGTATAAAAATGTTTTTACACCAAATGCTTAAAAATGAGTAGTTATCTAATAAAAAACACTGATTTACTAAAACAAACACTGCACTACAGAATAAGTGTGAAGAGATCTAAACACAAATGACTTTCCAGAAACCTATGTGATTTAATCAGGAGCAAACATTCCTTCTTTATGTCATCATAAATTTCATGCTTTAAAACAATTATCTTTTTCCTTTTTACCATTTTGTATTCTCTTTTTTAAAAAAGGATACAAGAAAACAATTATCATCAAAAGAAGAACACTTACCTTTGGTTTCCAAACTTGTAAGAGTAGTCATTTTTTTAAATTAAAAATGTTCACCAAGACTTCCACAGAAAAACCTAGAAATGTATAATAAAAGAATTAACATGGTATCATGTGAACACCTTTAATGAATGCTTCTATTTCAAAAATGTTATGATATTTTAATTGCTCCTGCCTTTGGTACCTATGCATTTAGAAAGGGTAGTGTTCTTTATATTCTCTTCTCATAGGTGGTACTGTTAACTCTACCAAGGATCTCAACAAAGTCAGACAAGATTCACTTTTAAATACCCTGGTTCACCATGCTTACCACTACATTCTAAGTTGTAAGAGGTATAGCTTAAATTTTAGCTAAGAAATAACATTGAGGTTACTGTAGGGGCTTATGTATCATTGTCATGACAAGAACTTACAAGTAATAACTCTTGGTTAACACTGACACAATTTTCTCTATATATATTTATATCAGGGAGGCTGGCGCTCCTGATGTTTAACAAGAGACAAAGATATTGGAGACAACTTAATTTATACTTTATTTTGGCGATAAAATTAAAATGGTAAATGAGAAGGAGACAAGAGACCTGAAGGAGGAGTTAAGGATGGGAAAAGAGTGGTAAAAATTAACACGTGTTATGTACAGGTACCAACTCCCTACGATGACTATAGCCACTATGTACTGCAAACATCTACTAATAAAAATTTTAAAAACTATCGTCATAAGAGTGAAAAGGGAAACACATTGAATGTACACTTTGAGAAATAAACGCATGATCTTACACGGCAGACTCAATTTTCCCGGAGGACTAGGGAAAGAAGGTGATATTGTAACACGATGGACTGTCCACTGCAGGACAAGTGGCTTCACCACAAAACCCTGATCACTCTCCGTCTCTGCACGGTTCAGCACGGAGTCCCAGTGACTCACTTCCTCAACAGCCACAAATCCTCCTTCACCTATGGTTTCTGGCTTTGAACAGGCGTCCTTTCCAAAGACGCTGGGTTGGAGGATGCTGACGCCATGTCGGACCATAGTGAAGTCCGTCCCACACTTCCAAGTGGGAAGAAAGGTTCCAAGTCCCAAGAAGGGTGGGGTGGGCTTCGCGTGTGACAGCTACGGGTGAAGACCGAGCTGCCCATCAACCTTCGTCGTCCTAGGAAGTCGGATCTAAAGTTCTGTCTGAGGAAGCCTTCCCCGAACAATCTTTCCCTAAACCCAAAGATAATGGGCAAGGAGCTCCGTCGGCTCCTTCCCAATACCGCCTCCCCCGAGTTAAAGAAATCTGTCGAGGACTTACCTGTAAGATTCCTATCCGCCCTGCTTCCGTTGGCTTCCTTCACAGGCTCTGCGCCTAGTTGTCACCCAGTTGACTCCGCCTAGTCCTCGCCTACCCAGAAAGCTACGCGCCAGCGTTTCCGGACGCTTAGCCGCGTTCACGGTCACTTCCGGTCCCTCAGGGGTTCGCTTCCGGAACGCGGTTCCGAGCCCAGAAGATACTCGTTCCGTGGTGCGTTTAAGCGGGAGTAACACGGTACAAGGCGTGTGTACCTCAGCAAGTGCAGAGTGAACAGATACTTATTTAAACATTTGAAACCCAGCAATATTTGGAGGCTTCCCGCCTATTCGCTTACATTTCCGGGTCACCTGTCAACAGAACAGAAGTGGAGACGCTGGCACCGGAAGGCGGTGTCCTGTAGTCCTTGGCGACACCGAGACGAGGCGGGCCTGCACATTGAATGGGCGGATCTGAAGTGACTCTCAGCCACTGGAGACCGAGGGGTGGTGAGGCGGCCTGGCCCGCGCCGTGCTGCCGCGGGCGGAACTCGGTTGCCATAGCAACCAATGCGTGGTCCAGGTACCTCGGGCCCAGAGCTAAAATCCTGAAACGATGGTGAGTGCTGGTGGGGAGTCCGACCGGGCGCTCTGGGGCGTGGGCATCCGGACGCGTTCTCGGTCTCGGGCGGTGGGCATCCGGAGGCGCCGGGGTCCTTCTTCCAGTCACCCTGCACTCCTGTGGTCTTGCTCTCCCTGACTCTGGCAGCACCCTAGAGTCCACTTTGATGCTACCAAGCCTCAAGAGCAGGGTGACAGAAAGTAAAGGGGTAAGACATCCAGTCTGAGAACCTAAAGAGACACATTATTTCGAATAAGTGTAATGTTTGCAGTATTCATCTTTTGAGTTTTTTTTTTCAAGCTTTCTATAAGACCGAGTGGCCGTGTGTACAGATGCCCGTCTGCACACTGAATCTAGGGGGTCTTTGTTTGCCTCAGTGGTGGAGCATTCTCTCACCTGTGTAAGGGCCGTTTATCAACAGAGGTCTGTCGACTTCTGGTCAACTGATTACCTTCGAGGTCCGTGCTCTACACTCCTGACCAGGACCTTAGTACTGAGGATTGTATTAGGGACACTTCACCACTGAACCACTTCTCCAGGTCTCACTATTTTATATTTTGAGACAAGGTCTACCGAAGTTGCTCTGGTGGGACTTAAACTTGGAATCTTCCTATCTCATCCTCTGAGTGGCAGAAGTCCCTGCTTTTTAATCCTAATATCTCAGTATCAAACAGAGCTTCTGGAATTCACTTGCTTGAGCAATCATGGCCAGAAATTCTGAAGGAAGAGAAACGGGTCTCTTTGTTTATATTTTTAATAAGGCTAGTAAGCGATTTTAATTTACGCACTGAGAACACCGAGGTTCTAGTTAATTCATGGTATCACCTCATCTTTTCAACACGAAGGAAAATAAACTGGAGGATAGCAAGATCCATTTTCTCAGATGGGTATAGTTACTAATTTAGCAGTAGACCCTCTACCCATTACCCTTTCCTTCCCATTACTGTTTGATTTTTTTTTTTTTCTGTTGTTACCTCAGTCTATCTCTGTCCATTTCCTGTAGGTATCTTTTCAAACCTCACTTTACAAACCCAGTTCCTTCTCCTCTCCTTTCTCTCTTTCCAAACAGATGACAGAATCTGGTAGGCAGTTTCTTCAGCCTCATGTCCCATATATTTACGTTCTTTACTTTCATGTATCTAATGTACAGAAAGCATTGTTATAAGATATTCCATCCATGTTTACTCTTGATCTCATTATTTTTTTCATTCCTGTGCTTTCAGCCTTTTCCTCTGTAGTTTCTTGAGTGCTCAAGCCATACATTTTATGAAAATTAAATAAAACAAAAGTATGTCATCAATCTATAGTTACTCAGTTTTTGCCCAATCCATTCTTTCAGTAAACTGCTTGAAATCATAGTATCTTTTTTACATTTATTAACTTCTTCCTTTTTTAAAATCTTCAAATGTCTGTTAGCTGGCTTTCTCTCAGTGGTAGAGTACTTTCATAACACATGAGACCCCCTGGGTTCAATCCCCAATACTGCAAACAACAAAAAGCTAACATCTTCAGTGAAGTTACTCATAAATTTCTAAGAGCTTTGTTAGCGCTTGAGGTTTATGGTCATTCATTTTCATTTTCACTGGTTTTGCCTTAGTTTTTTTAAAAATTATTTATTTATTTGTTTGGTACTGGGTCTGGCTGTGCAGTTCGAATTTATAGTGATCCTCTTGTCTTGGCTTCCCTAGTGCTGGGATTACACTTCCCTAGTGCAGCATCAGGCCCAGGGTTTTTGCCTTAGTTTTAAATGACCAGTAAGCTTCAGGGACTTGACTCATTTAGGGCTTTATTTAATTATAGTTGTTAGTGCATGTTAATTGTACAAGATAATGGGTCTCATTGTGAGATTATCATATATGCATATAGTGTGCTTTGATCATAACCACTCCTCCCTATGCCCCTCTTTTAACTGTTGTCTCTTTCCTCCCTCACTTCTTCTTTGCTAAGTCTCTTTTCTATTCTCATGTACCTCTTCTATAATTCTCCCCTCTTTTCAAAGAATATTGACCGACTGTTCACTTTTGTTTCTGTCACCAATTCATATCTTTCATACTATATTTGCCTCATTCAGTTGAAATTACTGGCTTATAGATCTGCTACGCTTACGAAACTGTTGAACTGTTAGAGGAATGTTTATTTTGTACATTGCTGCTGCTTAGATCGTGTTAAGCTTTTTAACTATTTGCCAAATGAATATAAAATTTTAAAAATGTGCTAAGTGGCCTGAGAGAATTCAAGGTATCTGAGGAGATTGGAAGGTGGAGTCCTTGCATATTAATTAGAGTAATTAAAAAAGTCATCATGAAGTAAATGGAATGCACCTGCAATTGTTAGAATTATTGACCTGTGCAATGGAATAAAGACTTCCCTGCAATGCTAAATACAGTGAACTCTGCCCCTGTCCCCCTTACTTTTTTTTTATAGTTTCTTTCTACTCACCTTTAGCACTTTTCCTGGCTGGAAAATGGGGCAGCCCATGAAGGCTCTTCTGAGTAAGGGACTTTTGTATCAAGACCTTAGTGATATAAAGTACAAAGATCTGAGAGAGCATTTCAGGCAGGATGACTGAGATCAAAAGCCCTGAGTCAGAAAACAACTTGGCACTTTAGAAATTCATTGTTGAATGTAGGAAGGGAGAGAATCTGAATGGGGGAGTGGTAAGGGATGGCTTTAGTGGTAGAGAATGACATGAGCTATGGTTTGGAAAGGTAGCAGAGGACAGACCACATGTACCTACATATATAGCAGTGTTTCTCAGTCTAGATTGGGACCCATAACTGTACTCTGGCATGAAATCAGTTTGTGGCATGTAGTAGCATCAAGAAAGAAGACATAAAATAAAAAGTTAGCATATTTTATTAAATATACTAAGGGTAAAGTTTTGTTTTAAATTCCATTTATATGGTACATATACTGAATTGTTATGTCCAATATATGTCAGTCATTTCATGATTTATGAAATTCAAGACACAGTTTAATTCTTTTTATAAAAAAAGATTTATTTAACTCATAATTTTGTAGGCTATGAGTCTAAACAGCATGGTGCTGGCTCTGGCAGTGGATTGTTGGCAGATGTTAGGAATGAGAGTTAGTGAGTAAGAAAGTGATCACTTCAAAATAGGACAGTCTGGGGTTTCACACTCCCTTTCTGGGACAGGCATTTAATTAACATAAGTACCAAACAAGAAACCTCTCTTAGAGATTTCACACAATCACTTAGTTTTTTTTTTTTATTGGTACAGTTTTACAATACATAATTTCTTTCCTCATGGAGAATTGGTGCATGTACATAACACATCTTAATTCTTTTTTACTCTCCTCACCCACTCTACAGTCTTTTGTTCCTCTTCCCTTCAGCAAGAGATAAATCTCCCTATTTCCTATTCTTTGCCTTTTATTTGGTCTTTACTTATATTTTGGCATGTAAGAGAAATCATGCCATATTTAAGTTTGTGTATCTTGATTTAAGGACAAAATATAATTTGATCATTATGTACCCTAAAAGGCAAAATAAATGAAATACCTGTATCAAGGCATGCAGTTTTATCTTATTCCCCTTTTAACTTGGTGACAGTGTTCTTACTGTGTGGCAGAAAAAGCTTTGCATTTCATAAAAGCCTGAAATTGTCTAGAATAAAATTTTTGTTTCTTTCTGCATGCAGATCTCATTCCTATACCTTTTGCTGTCAATCCTTTATAAGAAAGAATAGGCCTTTTACAAAGGAGAAATAGGTGTCCCTTCTGTCCAACTACTGGCACATGCACAGTGACAAAGATTGATGGTCTCTTTATAAGCAGCCGAGGATGGAGCTGTTTGCTCCCTTGGCATGGCTCCTGACTGCCGTGATCAGCTTCTCTTTACATCTAACTTGTTACACTTATGGCTTCTAGGACCAGATTTAGGTTCTGGTCACAGATTCTAGAACCACTTTTGTCTTACGAAGCGGATAACAAGCTGTAGTCTAGTATGTCTTCATACATGTTGTTTAAGATAAAAAACAGATTCTCTAGTGGTAGCATATCTAGTATTAGACTCATCAGGGCATTTTATGTATCATGAAAAGAAAGCATAAATCTAAGGCTCACTGACTAACAAAGAAATAGGAAAATTATTTTATAAAATCTAGGGTTTATTTGAATAATGATACCTCATATGAATTCTTAATATAAAAGGATTTTAAAGATTTTCAGCTATGTTCCATATGGATTAGACTAAACTTTTGAAGTAGCTATGCATATGTCTCAAGGTTGAAAGTCACCTTAGAAGAGCTTCCATGGATAATTTCAGATTATGAAATAAAGAACAGAATTTGCTAGGTATGAGGTGCATGCCT